CAATTATGCGTAAACGCAACATTTCATTTTACAGATATTTTAAAGCTGTCGCTTGTGTGTGAGTGTGCGACATTTCTCTTCACTTAATTCGTGTTCAATTATACACACCGGGTAGCCTAGCTTAGTTGAAATTTAAGGGTTGCAGCTACAACGTATGCTTAACTTAAAGGGCGGCACATTTATATACACACAAGCACACACACACACACACACACACGGGTAGACACACGCCCATATAATAACAGCTGAAAAGTTTTTGTCATTAAATTAGACACGTCGGGGGCAACAAATAATGAATAGATTTTGGCAATCGTGCTACTGATAAACCTGTCTAATCAATCAATAAGCGAGCCTCACTTTTTGGCATGTTGCATCAACTCGTCCAATAGAAAATGGCAGCCATAAATGTTCCCATGGCACACACACACACACACACACACACACACAAGCGCGCGTGCACACAAATGCACGCACATATTGATTATTTATAGGTTTTGTGTGGTCTCAGGTTCAGGTTGGGCAACCATTTTGCATAAAAAAAGAGAGAGAGAGAGAAAAAAATGCCAAACTGAGACGCAAATCGAAGCTGCCAACCTGTCGGTAGTCATTTATTGTGCTGGACATTATTGTTATTATTGTAGTTGTTCTTTTTGCTGTTGTTGTTGTTGTTGTTGTTGTTGCTGTTGTGGCGTGCTAATGGCAAATTAGGGCCTGCAATTTGTGTCAAGTTAAAGTTTGTATGGCCAAAAGTCAGCCATTTTATGGCCACCAACAATTTGCCAATATCGCAAATTAAACAATTTTAACCCAGTGGCAAGACTGGCAGCGCTGCCAGACATATGCACGACAACAGCAACAATTCGGCTCGACATTATAAAATATGATGAATTTAATTTGTAATTAGTGCCCGACCAGCTAAATGCCAGCACGAGGAAAAGCAACGTTAATTGAAAATAACGAACAGTGTTGTGAGTACAAAGTGAATGCTAAGTGAATGCAAGAAAATTGAGGAAAATTGTTTTGCACAGGCAACTTGAGTGACAAATTAGATGGAAATGCTAAGTACAAATAAATATACTTGCAAACCCAAATGAATGATTGACATCGGGCTTGGCGGGATGGTCGGTGGCAAACGAAGAGCCACGAATATTTATTCGACATCAAGTGCTCAACAACGAATAAAACTGAATCATGTTGATTATTCAAGCGTAATTTGATGCCAGCAATTATTGAGAGTGTCGCAACAGATTTTCACTTTATCACAATAGAGATTGGTTTTGATTGAAATAGTCGTGTATAAGAGAAAACATTCTTCAAATAGAACAATTTATACTAATTATTTACTTAAGTATTTATTAAGTGTTTAATACCCATGAACACATTCATTAAGTGTGAGTGTTGTATAACGTGTGACTGTAATATAAACAACAGCATGTTTTGCAATTAAGGTGAAACATTTTTTTGAACCGTAAGAAATTTTGGCAGCTTTAAAGTCACACGCTCATTTAAATGAATTCGGTTCTATATAAAATATTTGACATTGGCTTTGTTTTTATCAATTTTGCAATACATGGGAATACTGTGAATCGATATGAAGCGGGTTACCATTTTATTTATTTTTGTTGCTTACTTAAAATCGAACCTTGAAACGGATGTGTTGAGCAAAGAAGAGCCGATCCTAAACCATAATTGAATATTTTATTTCGATTCTGATGATATATCCTGGGCGTTAATATCTCATACAAAAATGAAATACTTTAAATCTGTGTACACTTTCCAAGAGCCAACATACCAATTTTGGGTATAACCAGCTCTTATGAGCTTCAAATAATGCTTCAAAAACCAAATCTTAAAATATTTATTTGTCGACTTTATATTGAAATGGAAGAATATATTGAAAAAACTGATAAACTCGGGATGCGTATGAAATATGAGGATATATTTCCTTAGCAAATTGCACCTCTTTCATTGTTAATAGTTTGCATGTTCAACCACAAAGCTACGGTAATCATATTTACACATGTTCAATGGGTACTGAGCAACATTTGAATAGTTTGTATAAGCACGCACCGGTCTTGGATCTAGCCACAATGTGCTGAATGTGAGAACTTGCAGTAGCAAACGTCAGTTTCAAACCAATTACGCATATGAATGAAATGAATACAGCCTTTTGAAAGGATCCTGTTGCAGCTGTAGCCACAAGTTGCAAGTGGGAGTTCTGTGGCATTTTACGCTGTTGCAATTGCGTAAGAAAAGGTTATAAAGAACGCAATGCTTACATTTCATATTAGCCATGTACTTCAAATGGGGAAATGAATGGCAGAGTGTGTTACTCTGTGTGTGCGTGTGTGTGTGTGTGTGTGTGTGTGTGTCAGAAGCATGCGAAACCTCAACGTCAGTAGATGCTTGCTTCATTCATTTGAATGTAAATTGCCCTTAAGACGCATATGCCACATGCCACACCATGCAATCAAGCAACCGACCAATCACCCAAAACGAAAAAACCCACCCATAATTTATAGACAACCATCTTTTAGCTGCCAGGCAAACCGATTTTTATTTTTACAATTTTCTATGACAAAATGTGAGCAATTTTCAACAAATTTGTCTTAATTTGCCAATCAACTGCAAAATGTATTTAAAGTAAGCCAGCGGCAGAGGCAGAGAGCGAGAGTGTCTGCTTGGTAGAGTATTAGATAGCGAACGGATTGGCTACGGCTTTCGAGTGGGCTGCCCGTCGCAATTGCATAACAGTAATTGACACTGTGTAAATGCAAATCCTTTAAGTGCCGCTGAAGTGCAGGCCACTTGTGACGAGTGCAGGGCGTCGTCTCAGCCGCTTGGCAGTTGGCAGTGTGGCAGTTGGCAGTTGGCAGTCAGCAGTAAGCACAGTCATGTCGAGAAGTAAGCACATACACGCACAGACGCCTATTGAGAGTATATATTTAGAATGTGGCACATGTTTAAAGTTAACACTTTATCTCAATCTTATCACAATCGACGCACACATGAGTCGCCGCTTATCAAACAGCTCAAATCTCGAAAAGAGAGCGCAACAGTGCGAGACGTAGGAAGGGGGTGGCGAACTTAGCCTGGATGTCGGCTGATTAAAGTATGTTGCACAGCCACAATGTCGCCTATTAATTGATTTTCAGATTTCTGCTACTGGAACAAGCATTCACATTGTACGCCATGGAACTTGTACGCCATTCGGGTTAAAAGTTGTCGCACAGTGCAAACAATTTGTGCGTGTTGCGGCCCAATACTTGAGACCCGAGTCATAAGTCGCTGCTGTTTTCAACTATCTAGTGCCCGTGGGCGAGCACAGTTATCTTATCAGGCCTGGCTAAGACCCGCTGCTTTAAACGGCTTTAGCGGCCAGCGATACGATTATGAAACGTGTCGCATTTCTCCAACGTGATTAACTTAGTAGGCAAAACAGTCCGCCCAAAATATATATATTCATATATATATATATATATTCATACATATATATATATACCTTAAGTGCCAGCCATATCAAATGCATGAAAAATAAATCATCAAACCGCAAATAGGTAGCAAGTGGGCTAACTTATGTGCGGCATTGTATAAATTACAGGGCAATCATGTGGCAATTATCTGGCTCATCAACAGCAGGAGAAGAAGCTGCAGCAATTGCATTTGCAGTTGGGTGTGCGTATGTGCGTGCGTGTGTGTGTGAGAGACTTACAAGTGGCGCCTCAGCTTTGACGCCTGAGTGCAAGTGAGTGTTTGTGTGTGTGTGTGCGTGCGCGTGGATGTGTAAACACTTAAAGTCACATAGAAAATGCATGCATGGGCCTTTAATTGAATCAAATTAGTTGCAATCATTGTTACCAATCTAATGCACAAATGATTTGCAAGTTAATCAACTTTTGATGCCTCTTCACAGCTTGGATAAACTCAAAATAATATAAATGATAATTTATCCACCGAAGCGAATGCCACCTCTCAGGATTTAGTCAAGTTTAGTCAAGTAACTGTCAAAGTTAACAAGCATTTTAACAATTTATTCAGCATCCTCAGCTGCCTGTGTAAAGTTAGCATGCACTACGGCTGCCTGAAGAAGAATGCACATACATGTAAATATGCAGACGTATGTCAGCAGCTAAAAAAAATAAACATCTGGAAGCTGACAGTTAACTATGCATTTCATTAAATATCAGCATGCCCTGTCAGGCTGTCGTTGAGGTGTCGCCAACACAATTGTTGACGATTACTTGACAGAAGCCGTGCAGCAAAGAAAACTCAATTTGGCATCTTGTCAAGTAACATGAGCTTTAAAAGACTCTTTAATTTTATTGATCGATAGGTGTGAAATTTTGTTCGCTTTTCAATTGGAATGCAAGTAAAATACTGAGTACTGAGTACCCGAGAAATAGTGGGCCTGCTCAAAGACGATGATGACATACCGCATTTAATTGCAATTATTTCGGCAGATCAAATTTGCTGAAAACTTTATGAATATATAAATATGGTCACAAAAGTGCATCATTATTGCATTGGGCAACAATATGAGGTTCGTGGCATTGCATTCGCACAAGGCCCAACCAATAATTGCTATTTATTACGTACTACATATATATATTCGGCATATAACGCATTGAACTTTCCCTTTTGAGCATGAGATGTTGGCTAACAAAATTTAACCGCAAATTGAATTAAATGCAACCAAGTGCAAATGTTGAACATGCAAACAAGAACAACAAACACGAGCACAGACAAATATCCTGTACTCTCGATGGGCACACATGGCGGATGCGTAATGTGTGATCCGTATTTCCTTGACGGTTGTGCGAATATATTTTGCCCAAAATTTCGAGTGTTTCGAGCTTCAATTGCAGTTTACGTTTGAGTTTTCAGTTTTCCGCTTCGAGTTGGAGTTTGAGTTAGAGTTTCAGTTGCAATTTGTAGTTTTTTAATTATTTTAAAGTTAATTACATTATTTGTAGTTTTTATTCCGTTTGCTGTTAAATTACCTTTTGTATCGCTGTTTCTGACGACCTTCCTGTTGTTGCGATGCGTATGTTGTTTCTGTTGTTGTTTTTATTTTATTTTCCTTATTTTTTTAAATGTATTTTTTATTTTCTTGCAGTTGCTTGTGGGGTTCGGTGTGTGGTAGTTGGGCGAGTGCCCCCAACTTGACTTACGGCACAATTTGTTTCGTTTTTAATTGCTTTTTAGCTTTTGGTTTGGTGTTTTTTTTTTTTTTCTTACTTATGCGTATGCGTGATGTTTTTTTTTTTTATTTTCTTTTCAGAGATTTTTTGGTATGCTTGTCTGGAATTTGGTAAGCGGCCGCTTTGAAGGCAGCAAAAGCGGCCAAAACTGTTGGAATTAACGCGCAAAGAGTAGAAAAGAATGAATTAATTTTAAGCACGCAGTGAAAACACGGAGAATGGCTTTTGCTCATGTTATTAATATTATTATGATATTCTTTAGGTTGTTCGTTTTTTTTTTTTTTTGCGTTCTTTTGTTCATTCTAATTTTTCGTTAAATATTTTATGTCCTTGTTTTGCACCTTTTGGCTTTGGCTGGCCAACGGATTTGGTCGCTGTTTGCTTTTGGTTTATTTTTATTTTTATCGTAAAATTTGTCGCCTGTCTTCGTTGTTTCACAGAATTCATACACTCGACTGCGCGTTGTATGTGTTTATAAATAAATAAGTTTCACATCTAATGGCCACCGAAATGAAATTCTAATCCCAAGCCCAGCTGCAAACCAGCACACAAAGACTCACAGATACACATAGAGAAAGGGAGAGAGAGAAAGGGAGGGAGAGAGTGAGGGAGATAGAGAGGGAGAGGAGGGGGTAGAGCCAGTGACACCCAAAACGCTTAACGCGTATCTATGAGATACAACTACGCACACTTTGTTGCACTACGCTGTGCGTGAATTATGCGACACAAGCACTTAGCATTGCCCCAAAAACAAAAACCCAAGAACTGAAAACAATTTGATGAATTTCCACAGACAATATTGTGGCATACCCTGCATTGAGTACATCAGTGCTATTGCCTCACTTGTCACAGTGGTAACGATTGAATAAGCCTCGTTAAAGAACTTAAGAACTTTTAAGAACTGAGCCTTTTGCTTTTGTTTTTTGTTTTTTTTTTTTTTGTTTGCTATCTAATTTAACGTATTTTTATTCGAAAACCAATATATATGACAGACTGATAAATAGCTGGGCTTGCCATAAATAAATTAAATGTATTTATATTCCCGCTCTGAAATGCCATACTAGACTTTAATATGATCTGGTGAGCATATCTAGTTTTGCTATATCATGTGTTTATATATTTGGCGGATTTTGAAGAACTTAAGATTGGAAATTGTAAAAATAACAAAAAAATAAGAATCGTTTGTAATCAAAGCTGATATTCTTAAGCTATATATGCGATAAGATACAATTGCGCAGGGAATATACGCTTTAGTCACTGCGATGAATTCTATAAGATAAAAGCCATACTCTAGAATATAATCTGATAATCTTTTAAGACAGGAAGTATATTATAATAACAAGAACAAAAAGGGCTACAGATATTGACAACTTCAGTTAGGGCATATATACATAAAAATTTGTTGCCATCGTTAGAACTTTATAAGATTTGTAGGGCATTTGAACTACGGTGAGATGTGTTGCAAAATTGTAGACTGCTTTTCGCTTTTCATTTTTCGCTTAATGAACATTTTAAAATAGTTTTCGGCTGCCGCAAAAATTTGTGTTAATTTTTCTAGACATTGTTGTTTTAATGCGTTTACTGCTCTCGTTGTTGTTGTTGTTGGTGTTGTTGTTTTCCTTTGTTTTGGGGGCCGTCCAATAATTTTGATTGCTGCCAAAAATTCGTAGACAGACGGCCGCATTTTCGCCTGCCTGGGCTAAGGCGATCAACTCTCTAAGAAAATGTCGACAACGATATCGTTCTCCCTCTCTCTCTCTCTCTCTCTCTCTATCTACTCTAGTTGCTACTTATGTCCAACACACTACACAGCACCGCAGCCCCCCCCCCCCCCCCCCCCCCCCCTAGCCTTCACCCACGACAACCCCTTAATAGTTGGCCAAGAGCATGTGTCGTATCGCGCTTTAGAGTTGACGCGTTTCTAGCGCTAATTGATAGCAAGTGATATGAAAAATATATTATTGCCGTGTGTTAGCTTTTGAATTTGATTTCTTTGAGTCATGCCACATATATGGACTCTTGGCCGGTTGACAACGGCTGGCAGCCCAGCGACAGCTTGACTATCCAGATTTTATCTGGTTAAATGGAGGCTGCTTGCTTCTAACAATTTTTGTTTCTTCTGGTTTTTTGGCTGTCATTTAAGGCTAACATTAATCATTGTGATTAATTGAAATTTTGCTTATCTGTGGACCCACCTGACCGAAGTTTCAGCAAGGTAGATCATAGCGATAATCCGCGAAATACTGCACAAATTTAGCCTAACACCAAATTGCGTCGCTCTCTCACTTACTCACTCTCTCTCTCTCTCTCTCGCTATCTGGCCATAAGTTACAATATAAATTTCCCAGGCAGCGGCTTAAAATTGATGCTAAACAAACAACAACAATCAATAAAAGCAATTAATTTGGTGCAATAAATCGGGAATTGCCTGAAATGAGAGACGCCCACACTAGAGACAAAGCTGCCTTTGACAACTTTTCGATTCTCTGGGCCGTGCTCAGAGCTTGGGCCGTATACATAAACTGAAACAACCATATATGGGCCACATAGTCGATACCTTAATCATTGTGCTCATATATGGCCAAGGGGGCGCCCAAAACAAAAAATGGCAAAATGAAAACGTCACCGACACGATCTGTGTGCTACAATTTATAAAAAAAAAAAAAACTGTACGCGGCATTTATTTATTTATTTATTTTTTGATTCTATGGATTCTGTGCCCTGCAACAAGTACTGTTTCTTTGTTGTTGTTGTTTTTGTTTTTGTTATTGGCTGTTGCACAAAATGCTAGCAAGTATCTTAGAGAGTCTCGCGATGGCTTCGCCTTTACACGCACATCACATTTCCAGGGCTGTGCACTTTGATTCGCTTTCATAGCACCTTTTGCACTCAAAACGCGACACACAACAAAAAAAAAAACAAACAAACCAAAACAAAAACAAAAAAATACCATATAGCAATCGTGCTGAGGCTAGAAATGGCAAAACACTCGACTTTACAAACGGGCACGTTAAAGTTGTTGTCGCTTGATGCTTGATGCAATTGTTGCTGCTGCTGCTGATGATGATTTTGCTGATGCTTTTGTATGCACGTGCTGCTGCTGCTGCTGCTGGTAGTTAGCTGCTGCTACTGCCGCCGGTTTCTATTTAGCTCTGCTAGTCGCTGCTACTAAACCTTCACGCTAGACGTTTGCTACGCAACTGACAAGCGGCAGCGATTCGTGACTTCCGACGAGCCAACAACGAGTCGCAACTCGGCTGCGGTTCGGTTCGCCTTACGTTCGCTTTCAACATGTTGCGAGTGACGAGCGACGAACACCGAGCGGCAAATGAAAGTGCAGCAGCAGTGGCATTTGCTGCACCGACTCAGCTTTTTGGCTCTTCGGCTTTTGCTGCATGGCAGCTCGCAAAAAAAAAAAAAATAATAAATAAATAAAATAAAAATGGAAAAAGTGCTCTAGGTTGAACTGTACGACTAAAAGATACCCTATGGCCGAGTGGTTGTTACAACCATTCAAAATTTCTTGGACCCATACATAAGCAGCTTATTTATCCTTCTTATTCTTCTTCATCTTCTTTCTCTAAATTCATTTCTGAATGACTTCGGTGGGCATAGTCCGATCTCAATTAAATTTTCAGGACCGATCGATTTCGAGCAGTTAATGAATAAACAATTCTTATTCTTGACATTATATTTACAAATTTGAAGCATCTAACTCATCAATTTTTGACGATAAGCTCGGCTGATCGAGAAGCTATATACTTTCTGAAGTCTTCTATATCTTTTTGGTACCCCGTGAAAATGGGTGCAGGGCATTAACAGTTTTCGGCTTCGTTTGGCTGCTGCACGAAATTGGTGGGCAACTGCGAAAAGAGCGAACAAAGCAAGCAAAAGCAGCAAGAGCAAATAAATAAACTGCAGCAGCAGCGGCAGCAACAGCAGCAGCAGCAGCAGTGTAACCCCTAGCAACATGCTGCACAGTGGCACAAAAGAATAGAGTAGGAAAAAAATAGAGTAGGAATTGTTTGGAAAATCGGTTATGACACCAACTGAACGAAAATCACTTCAAACATAAGAGGATTTCGATTTGGTCGTCAAGAATGGCAAAGCAGAAACGTAAATTCAAATGCTCTCAAGCGAGGCTACTCGACAGAATTATTGTACAGTTCAAATGGCGTGCTCATGTATGTGTGAGTATCTGTGTGGTGTTTCCAGACAGACATTCAGCATACTATCTACTTGGCAGCTCCATTAGTGAGACATCTAATTGGAGAAAGAGAGAAAGCAAACGCATGCTATGTACATAAATTCATTGTTGGTTATTTGTTTGTTTTTAGTATAAGTAAAGCATATAGTTATAAACTATATTTCTAAATGTATTTTTTGTTATAAGACGTGTGTGCTTGTGAGCTTAATGGCCAGCATTAGCAGAAAGAACAGTAGGAGTCAAACAAGCAGAGGCTTGGCAGTGTGGCTAGCAGAAGCAGTGCGACTGAGAGTAGCAGCAGGAGTTAGATATAACTGCTAAGCAATATTTGTTAAGTATTTGAAGGAACCTTTTTCGAATCCGTTTTCAAGTGTTATTCTTTTGCCAACTAATTAATTGGCTTTTTAATGAGATATGCAGTGAAGCGTTGCCTGATTGAAAGGCACAGTGGACTTGATTATTTTAATATAGAAAATATTGTCTATGATTGTAAGTTGCTCTGGGTAAATATAGGAATGCAAGCAATAACAATAATCAATACAAAAAGAAAAACATATAAATATTAATGCAGCACTGTGCTTGGTATCGAGAGCCACCAACTAGCTGCAATTACGTCTGCAATCAAAGCACCCTCTAATAAATACAATCAGCGCAGGGACAAGAACAAAACGAGACTCTGTATAGCTACAGTTTTTTCTGCGGCCCGGGCCAAAGCAAACATGTTGCTAAGCATGCTTCTAGCCAACATGTTGGCTGCCTTCGGCTGACTGGCAGCATTAATGATGTGGTTGTGACCAACAACACTGCCACCGCCGCCGCCACCACCAGCAGTGGCAGCAACAGCAGCAGCAGCCGCTGATGCCGCCGTCGCTGCGAAATCCCAGACGCGCGTTAGTTATAGAAATGGTAGACAACAATGGCTGATGAGGTTTCGACTGCAGAGCTCAGGGTTTGGGGGCACCTGCACTGGAATTTTATTGGGGCTTGTGCAACACGGCGTATGATTAACAGAATTACCAAACATTTATCAACAGCTACTGCACTTGACAACTCCCCATGGAGAAGTTGAAATCAAATAAGACAAAAAAAAAAAAATATTCTAAATAAATCCCGTAACAAGCAGGTTATCTTTGGCTTTCTCCCGCTTCTCTCGCTCTCTATTTCTCACTCTCTCCCGCTCACACTTTACTTTAATGTGCTTTAGTTTAGGTTTTTCATTATACGAATTACAATAATATTGAAAGCTTTCTTCGGTCTGTTTTGCGTTTGTTCAAGTGTTTTAAACTGGCTCTTGGCCCACAGAAGCTCTAAAATACATAGTTGAAATGCAACTGCAAAGGAAAACAGAAGCCGATTATCTAATTAAACCGACTACAAACAGACTAAACAAAGCAATTGTAACACTTGTGAGTTTTCATTTGTGCGGCAATACTCGCACTGACCTTGGGCTCACTTCGCACTCAATTGGACGCGGTCTAAGACCTCGGATCTAAGAATTTAGAAGCGGAGGAAAATAAACTGTGACAGTGACCAGAATGTCAAAAACTCGTCTCGAATGTCCTCTCGACGTAAAACAGTCGAAAAGATTGTGACAGGAATACGAAAATGGGAGGTTTAACTAAATGCTGCTGGACCTTAGGCGAATCGTTTTTGAATTGCTGGCACCAGGTAAGGCGGCTTTGGCCATCACCATTGCCGATCCTAAGTGCGGTCGAGAACAAAAGGAGCTTTAGCTGGCGAACGCAAATTCCAGACAGCAGAGAAATTACGTGTGGCAGTAATAAAAGCTGCAGGAGGAAAGGTAAACATAGACCAAGGCAACCTCTTCAGTCAAATGAGAAGAATTATAAAGCAATATGTTATTTAAATTCCTAAGTCTAAACATCGAATCTCCAAACCTTCAACTAAAGTCTAGGAAGGTCGCCGAAAAAGACTTTAAAGAATTTCAAAATATAAATCAATTGGTGGCTTATGATAATCAAAGTAATTAATGAGGAAGATTAACTATAATGGCCATACTTAGTTATATTTATGCTCGTTCACAGTCATTTTAGGATTAGCGCATGCCTTTTGATTTATAAGCTGCTTTACTCAAAGGGAATGAGCAAAATTTTGTTGGCGAATAACAATTTTCTTTGAGCTGCATTTGGAAGTGAAATGCATAGTTTTGATTACATTTTGCATCAGCTTGCTGTGCCCTTCGATTTCAATTAAAGGTTCTGCCATTTAGTTGTAGATTGTTTGGGAAACGTTGAACGGGCGAGGAAGGCACGCAGCTCACTCTCTGTTATTGATAGAACCATAGACGTATAGTTGCAGCTGCAAGGACGCCAATGAAATTGATTGAACATGTTGCCAGCTGCCCTTTGACTCAGGCAGCGCTCACAAATTGCAGTGCCGGCATGCTTGATGGCGGCCTTAATATGTATGCCGCAGACCTTGTTGCGTAATTAAACCATAATGAAGTTAGCGTGCGTATTGGGCCGCTTGCCGCAAAGGCGGCTGCGGTAAGGCCCAAATGTTTGCCAAGTTTATTAAAATAGCTTTGTGCAGACCCCCCTCCCTGGAAGATTCGGAGGCGCCTACTTTGGCTGCAACTCCGTTTATGGAGCCCACGATTAACTAAAGTTTTTACATGCCACTTGCCCAATGCTTATCAAACTTAGTGTCTACTTACGTCTTAGGTACATGAGGGGGCAAACTTACCTGAAAGATAAAAGAGAGAGAGAAAATAAAACATGTTATTTGGCTTTATGTAAGATGTTGATATATATATATATATATATATATAAAAGATTGTTCGCATGAAAATCTACGAATTGCAGTTCTCGCATCGCTATGTGTTCAAAAAATGTATATACATTCGAGGAAAGAGCGAGAACAAGTAACATCGAGCTTATGTCTGAGTGTTGGTTGTGTAACAACTAAATATGAATATGTTGCCATTGCCAGAAATATACAATAATGGAGAAGTTCAGGCCTAATTTAACCTGAATGTAATCAAAACCGCAAAGAATATACATAAGACAAGCGTATATATATTTATAAATAGTACTTTTTTAAATGTCATGACTGTCAGTTGCAGCTCTTTGTGGGTGTAATTTTTTTTAGTTCTTTCGCTACCAGCTCGACATCCAGTCCTAGCAACAGCTACAGTTAATTCAAAGGGCATATCTGGTATTAAATAACATATACGCAGCGTGGTCCAGATCCATGTAGTCCAGCGTCAGTGCAAAGCTTTCGCATTGTGGTGAAAGCTGCGAAAGCTTAGTGCTTTCACTTTGGTTTTTTAACTGGCTATTGCATATTTATGGAGCGAGGCTGTGTTAAACAGCTTTCGCAAACAGCTTTGAGCTTCACAAGGCTTCATTAAAAAGCGGTCGTAAAAGCTTATATGCAACTTTGAGCTTCAAAAGCTTGATCTAGTTGTAAAACCTTACACCAGAAGCTATTTGAAATAACAGTTTGAACCACTTTTCTTTTGTACCAAGGATTTTAGACGTAAAGCACTTAAAGAAATCAAAGCTTTCTGTTTCAACTTTAAACGAAAACCTTTATCTTAAAAAAATCGGTAATTTAACGCAGATTTTTGGTTGAGCCACTTCCATTAAGCTTGTTAGATTTTCGCATCTGCAGGTCTGAGGTTTATCAAGTACGAGGTTAAAACCAATTTGGAAATGATTAAATTCAAATGATTTATTTACATAAGCATTCAATTTGTTAATGGGACTTAAATAACCAATTAAATTGTTCTTTAATTCATGTTTATTGCATGTGCACGTGTGTAACAAGTGAACACACGTGTCCTGGTTAAATTAAAGAATAGGAATATCATATCAGTTGTCTTTCTCGCTTTCTCATTTGTTGTTTGCATATTTATTAATATTAATTTATAGCAGTTCTTTTAATTGTACAGCTTTTTCTGTCATTGTTGCTGCCAATGGGCTCAGCAATTGTTTCTCATGTACGTTTTTATTGATTAAATGAAAGAGTTATTTTCACTCGCTGGCAAAGGCAAAGAGTGTAGCAGCCCCTCAGAAGGTGCAGCTATAAATATGAGGCAAATACTCTTTCGTTCGCTACGGACTATGGCCAACTTGTCCAGCAGTTGCACACACACACACACCCACACACACACACAGCTCACACGCCCACATTTGCTAAAGTTCAATGACTAGCAATAACGAAGCGTCATTCAAGCGTAAATTATTGCCAAGGACCCCAAATGGGCTTGGGAAAACGCTGTCAGGATGGCTGGAGCAAAATAGAAGGGCCAAACGGCACGAGACCGTCAGAGCAGCTTAGCGGAAATGAGACAAAAGTACTTCAGCAAGGGTTTGGATGGGGTGCCAGGCTACCAGTCTGCCAAGCTGTATGCTGTGTGCTGCTGCGACTGCGGCTGCGACTAGGGGTTTGAGCTTGGGGCCAGCGTATGGAGAATGCGCAACAGTTGATTGCCATCAATTGGAATTATGTAAATTAAATTGTCCACGCAGTATATCGAGTGCATATTGTCCGGGTGACGGCTCCAATTGGGTGTGAAATTGATAGAATTTGGCGGTCCATATGGCTCAACTTCAAGTTGTCCAACGGCAGAAACAAAGCATTGTCAAAAGAAGAAAACATTTTACAAAATAGTTCTCTCTGGTGCCAGTAAGTCAATACCACTCAAGTAACTGGCATTAAGCTGTTGAGTTGAACCAGCATCCTCTCTGCTCAGTTGTTCAAATAGCATAGTCTTGTATGGCTTTTGTTGTATGAACACTAACCGGGGATTTGAACCAGCTTGAATAAAACTGTCGAATTTGACAAACATAATAGACTAGCTGGGGATTCAAACCCAAATTGTCCCCGTTCAATTGTCTAGTTCACATAGAGAACTCATCTAAAGAGGAGTGCATCGATATTTATCGATAGTTATTTGTCGATTATGTTGCAAGTTAAAGAACCAATTGGAATACTATGGATTTTCCCCACACCGACAAATGCTATGGCACATTTGAGAAAAGTCAAAAGAATGCTTTTTGCGAATATATATTGGTTAATATGAATACTATGTGTGTGTGTGTTAACGAGACAATCATGCCTGTATTAACAAGTGTAACCTAAACCTTTTAAAAGAATTCAACAATGTCATAAGAAAAAAAAACAGGTTAACAAAAAAGTATAAGGTAATCAAAGTATTTCAAACAGTCCCGTTCAGTGTGCCCTCATCGATTTCCTTGTGGTCGTCGATCAGCTGGTCTGCGTCTTGGTGGTGGTGGAGGAGTCGCTTTTCTGATAGGTCGTCGGGGAAGCGGTTTACGGCAGGCTGGCGGTTGTTTTGGTGAAGGACATTTTTTTGTGGTGGCTTTCTTACATTTCGGTGGTGCAGTTTTCTGGGGACATTTCTGTAGTGGACGGAGATTTTTACATTTTGGTCGTGGAGTTTTTGATGGCTTACGATTCTTTGTTGGGCGATGAGTCTTACATTTGGGCTTACAAGTTTTAGGTTTCTGGGGTTTCTTTGTCGGACCACACGGTTTCTTCGTCGGGGCACACGGCTTCTTCGTTGTAGCGCACGGTTTCTTCGGGGTAGGATTCGGTTTCTTCGTCGGTGCACACGGTTTCTTTGTGGTATGGTGCTGCTTCCTTGTCGTTCCACACGGTTTCTTTGTTGTATGATGGGGCTTCTTAGTCGTTTTACATGGTTTCTTTGTTGGTGGGCGGGGCTTCCTTGTCGTTCTACATGGTTTCTTAGTCGGTGGTCTTGGCTTCTTCGTCGTTTTACATGGTTTCTTTGTTGGAGGAGTGGGCTTCTTTGTCGGTGGGTTTGTCGGTTTCTCTGTTGGAGGAGTGGGCTTCTTTGTCGGTGGGTTTGTCGGTTTCTCTGTTGGAGGAGTCGGCTTCTGTGTCGGTGGGTTTGTCGGTTTCTCTGTTGGAGGAGTGGGCTTCTTGGTCGTTTCACATGGTTTTTCTGTCGTAGGAGTGGGCTTCTTAGTCGGTGGGTTTGTCGGTTTCTCTGTTGGAGGAGTGGGCTTCTTTGTCGTTTCACATGGTTTCTCTGTCGTAGGAGTGGGCTTCTTTGTCGGTGGGTTTGTCGGTTTCTCTGTTGGAGGAGTCGGCTTCTTTGTCGGTGGTTTTGTCGGTTTCTCTGTTGGAGGAGTCGGCTTCTTTGTCGTTTCACATGGTTTCTCTGTTGGAGGAGTCGGCTTCTTTGTCGGTGGGTTTGTCGGTTTCTCTGTTGGAGGAGTCGGCTTCTTTGTCGGTGGTTTTGTCGGTTTCTCTGTTGGAGGAGTCGGCTTCTTTGTCGGTGGGTTTGTCGGTTTCTCTGTTGGAGGAGTCGGCTTCTTTGTCGTTTCACATGGTTTCTCTGTCGTAGGAGTGGGCTTCTTTGTCGGTGGTTTTGTCGGTTTCTCTGTTGGAGGAGTCGGCTTCTTCGTCGGTGGTTTTGTCGGTTTCTCTGTTGGAGGAGTCGGCTTCTTCGTCGGTGGTTTTGTCGGTTTCTCTGTTGGAGGAGTCGGCTTCCTGGTTGTTTCACATGGTTTTTCTGTCGTAGGAGTGGGCTTCTTCGTCGGTGGTTTTGTCGGTTTCTCTGTTGGAGGAGTCGGCTTCCTGGTTGTTTCACATGGTTTTTCTGTAGTAGGAGTGGGCTTCTTTGTCGGTGGGTTTGTCGGTTTCTCTGTTGGAGGAGTCGGCTTCTTCGTCGTTTCACACGGTTTCTTTGTGGTCGTTGGACACCGTGTTGTTGTCGTAGGACATGGCGTCGTTGTCGTAGGACACGGCGTCGTTGTCGTAGGACACGGCGTCGTTGTCGTAGGACACGGCGTCGTTGTCGTAGGACACGGCGTCGTTGTCGTAGGACATGGCGTCGTTGTCGTAGGACACGGCGTCGTTGTAATTTCACACCCACAGCTGGCCTCGCCGCCCCCAGGCCCTTGGGACACCAGAAGAGCTGTCAATAAGCCGAACAACCAGAAGATGCGCATCGTAGAGCAGTTGAGGTAACTGTTGCTCTTGTTCGGCTGTTGCAACTTTTATATAGCAATTGCAGGCAGGGCAGTCAAAGGCTGGCCTTTTCGACTTTGGGGGCAACAGAGTTATTTTCATCCTCAGGCAGTGACCCATAGAGGTCTGTTTCCATTTTTGGATCTCGGTATATTCGCCAGTTGACTTAATGACAGATGGCGATGTTATTTTATGTTATTAATATATAAACAGTTCGCCTATTGACTGCCCCAGACTGTAAATGATCCGAGCATCAAAGGATTGGGTTCCAGGGGTTAGGAAAGTTGTTGCTTGAAGAAATTGTTGCGATGTCAAAGTAAAGAACAGCGCCATATAATATAATAAGTAGTAGTCGCAGTAGTAGGAACAACCGCAACATCGTTCATCTCATATGAATATTGCTTCAAATGCAAGTGGTCCCTATAATTATTATGCCATTCCCACCAGATACAAAGTCAAAGCCGGTGACCTCACGCTTGCTGGTCCGACTTGTTTTTTTTTATACCTTGACCACCGATTACTCATGCTAAAAAGCCGGATTTTTAAAAACCCTATTTTGATTCGAATGCAAGCTTCCTAACCCTTAGCGTTTAGGCTGTGCATTGATCACCATCAAGTCAGTCTTTGAGTTAGTCCGGCAAACTATTTAATATTGACACAAGTGAATTCTAAGAAAGTGCTGTATCACTAAATTTTACTATATTCTGCAAATATTGGGAGTACTTTAAATTAACTGACTAGCAGGAAAAGCGTGGCCGACAGCCACAAGTTTAAATTGAAATCCAAAGAATGTGTTATACATTTCAAAAACAAATGAATTCGTTTTTATTTAAGCAGCAAACATAGCCCAAACATATTATGACTTTAATGATGATTGTTCTTCTCAAATTTTTTATTTGTGTGCATATGAATCAATTCGCACAGCTGTCGGTTTCATTAATACTCAATTGTTTTGATCACCTGATCATTGTATGGAGTTTTTCCATACCCAATTTCAAAGTGTATCGTTCTATTCACATATTTATAATCTCGCAAGTTGAGCAAATAAAGGCTTTGGGATTTGACAAATGCTTGACGCCTTTAGATTAACTGCTGGCTATAAAAGTGGCTGGCAGCTTCTGCAATTTCGACAATTTGAGGTTGACATTTGGAAGATTAACATAATGAAGTTCAGCTCGCGTTTCCTGCTTTTGGCCTGCCTCTGCCTGTGGGCCTCATCTGCGGCCGCACAGACCACCGAAGATACTGAAATTGCCTATGACGATGCTGAAGAATCGGGCTCCACGGATGATTATACTGAAGTTGACAGCGGCAGCGAGAGCGGCACCGACACCGACACTGAAACCGGCACCGAGTCCAACGTTGACACTGACTCAGGCACTGATACAGACATAGATACGGATACGGATACGGATACGGAGGGCACGGATGAGGAGGAGACAACTAAGGCGCCGGTGCGCAGAACAACACGTAGAACACCCATTCGCCGACCAAACGCCAGCAACAACAACAGGCGCAGGCAAAATAGCAACAGGCGCAATAACAACAACAGGCGCAACAACAGCACCAGACGCAACAACAACAATAACAGGCGCAATAACAACACCAGACGCAACAACAACAGGCGCGCAACAAACAACAATAGACGTGCGAACAACAACAATGTTCGCGCTCTTAGGAACAGAAGACGCGGCTAAACTAAATCACTGAACTGCTGGATTATATTGAACGATTGTGTTGTATCCTATTTGAAATTATCAAAATCTTTCTTTTTTTTTGGATCTAAATTATGAATATTAAAAGCTTTGATTGAAACGAAAACTAGTTATTCAAATTTGTGATTAAACAAAAGATCCAGGTAAAGATTTTCCAACCAAACTCAAGGTTTTGACTGAGTAAGTCTGAGGTAAGGGGGAACTTGTCAGTTTTCTGAGAAGCCTTTTTGAAAAGACAGTCGAGAGCGGGCCGAGAGCTTCATCTGTAACAATATCTCAATCAAAAAGCACACCCGTGCTATCCTCCCAAGGATTTCTAGCCGGCCCTGAATGCGAATCTCGCTGACGCGGCCTTGACCAACAAGCCATGATATCTGACATTGAACTCTTTTCGGCTATCGAATTTTTTCGTTTCAATTAACTAGCTCACGAAATTTCAATTTTTTGGCATTCTGCATGTGCAAGCTCTCCACTCACAAGTGCTGCGAGGTGGATTGCGGTCGACTGCATCAGGATTCGCGCGTAATAAAAATATACTTGATTTTATACAGGCGAAAAAAAAGAAAAAAAATAAATAAAAGTTGAACTTGTGCTGCATTTGATGTATGAGAATTAATATGCATATGTTAAAATCTACTTGGAATTCAGTAGCCCAGTTGTTGAGAAGGGCATAACTAAAATATTTCTACGACTCGACCTTGAGTAAACAACTTTGAGTAAGCAACAAAATATAACGTCGTATTAGGGCACTTAAGCAATAAATGCAGGGTATTTAGCAGCCAAGCATATGAAAAGTAAATTGTACGTGCTCTAATTGCAACAATATAAAATAAACGAAATTCAATTGATGCGTTAATTCTTATTTAATTGAAACATTTTCATTTGTTTTTTCCATTAATTTTCAATTTTCAATTTTCCATATCGACAAAAAAAGAGAAGCATAATTGCAGTTCATTGGAAATTGTGTAAAGCTTAAATCAACAACAACAGAAAGCCTGCACATGCCAAATAATAAACAAAAGTCAAACAAATAAATATATTGATTTGCTGCAGAAATAATCAGAGAGGCTTTTGCAAAATTTATGCAATTTATTTATTCAATTTACAAATGTGAAGCGGGGTCCATTCGGTTCATTTGGCGATATTATTGTCAAAACATATTCAATTATGCATTGGGATTTTCTTTTTTTTTTTTGTTGGCCCTAACTACGCAGCCTTTGTGCCAGACATACAATACAGGTGAAGCCGACTCAATTACTGAGTCTGTGTCTGTATTCTACTGTCTATGGCTTCCGGCTGTTGTGGTCTGCCCTGATGTCAGTGTTCGGGCCAAAGTTTGTGTCACTTAACTTTGTCGATTCGATTAAGTTGACTAACTGCAAATTGATTTGATTGTAAGTCGCTAATTGGCTGGTTCTCAAACTTTTGAGCCAAGTTCGTTGTGCAGTGTTCTTTCATTTGTTTGGTTTTCAGGGATAAATAGCGCATACGCCACGTAGCCGGCACACAAATGCGTGTAGAGTTGACGCGTTTCGTTGCGACAAGATAAAAAAAATATATGAGTCTGGCTTTAAGCAGCCGCCACCGCATTTGTCTAAATATTGACAAATTAAATAATAATATTGTTGCGTTTGTTTGTATTCCGTTTATTTTCATGTTATTTGCTTTCGTTTTGGTTTTGTTGTTTTGGTATTCTTTCTTTCTCTCTTGCCTTCGCCTTTCCAGTTTTTTTTTGTTTTATTTTTTTAAATAGCGGCGCGAGCTGTTCATAGTCAATTTTAAAGGCCAAAGTCAACACAATGCCAGAAGCAAGCAGCAGCAGAAGCTGTGCAAAAAAGTATTGCATAACTGTAGGCGTCACTTTAAGTGTTGCGTAAGACTGGAAGTTTTCATCAAACTTTCGCTTGGAGCATTATTTATTTTATAATTTACTAGCATTTCACAACGCGACTTTAACCGCGTGCGTTTCGACTTATAATTTCCAACAAGCATCTTTGTAACCGCGAGCTTCCCATCTCCATCACCCCTCCGCCCAACGCATTTGAAAAGGCAATGCTTAAACACAATGAACGACTCCATTTCCGCGGTTTTATATACTTCACTCATTGAAAATTACCCGCCACAATAATAGTTCATAACAATGGCGTTGAACCGTCGACTTCTCGCTTGCTAGTCTGACACGCCGACATCTTTAAAAAAAGGTATTTCAAAAGCGAGCACAATATATATTTGAACGAAAATACAATGTAAAATCTTTCAAGCTGCTTTTCCACTTGGCATTAAAGCTTTTATTTACAGGCTTGGCAAAATTCGCAACACTGAATTATAAAGGAGACCTTAAGCTCTTGTTGGCCAAGTAATTAGCTCGTAAGTAATGTTCGCTGCATTTCACAACACTGTTGGGCACACAATGCTATAAAACTTTTAAGACTTTTTGCTTGAATTGAAATATTATAAAACTCAAACACATTCTATGTTAAAGCATACATACTCAAGCTTTAAACATAAAGGCATTTGCTAGAGAAGAATTCTGAGTAGACTTCAATGCCATAAACTCTTTGGATGCGGGCAGAGGGGGACAGGTAATCATCTTCGACTCCATTAAGTATATGTACATTCTGGATCTCGACGACGAGCTGAGTAAGTCCAGCCATGTCCGCCTTGATATCGATTTCGATTTCAATGATATCGATAAATATCGATATTAGATTTAGAAATGTTTTCTAAGCATAGCTCGAATATTATCATATGCATTTAAGAGATGTTTCACACTTTTTGCATTGTCAACGATTCCCTTCTTGGATAGAAAATGTGGTTGAACGGGCGAAACTGGGATATGAGTTAATTTGCAAAGATTCCGTAAATTCATTTGGTATAAATTCACCTCTTCTTGAGCAAAGGGGAAAATTTAATGCAAAGAACTTGGACCGGACAGGGCTGGATATACCAGCTACTTAAATATAGATATTGATTGGCTGTCTACTTACCGGACATTGGCCAGGGTGTGACGACGGTTCTTCAGGTAGCGACTGTGATACTTTTGGAGATCACCGATTGAGCCCTGTTCGGCCTGCATTTTGGTGGTGGGCAGCAGCTGCGAGTTGCTGGGATGCGAGGCGAGTGCCGAGGCGGAAGACGAGGCCAAGCGATGATGGGCAGCGACGCTGACGCTGCTGCTGTTGTTGGTATTGGTGGTGGTGTTGCCGGTGCTGCCGCTTGAGGCCAAAGTCTCGTTTGAATTGCTGCCAATAACTGTGGCCGAGGATGAGCCACCGCCACCGCCGCCGCCGGTGCTGCCAATCGGTGTGAGCACAATACGCGACCAACACGATTTGTGCGGCTTACGAAATTTGAGCTTTATGCGCGGTGAGGGCGTCGAGGCGCCGCCGTACTCTGGCTGCGCGCTGCCGCCAGCCGTTGCCGAGGATGAGGTGCCCGAACTGTGATGCACACTCTCGCAGCTGCCGCAATATCCGCCACCTGCAATGGTAATGGGCGGCAGCGGTTCCTCAAGACCCTTGATCGGGCTGCTGTTCCCCAACTGACGGTTGTTGGCGTGTTGCAGCTGTTGCTGATGCTCGGATTCCTCCTCTTCTTTAATGTGCGGCAGTGGTGAGGTCTGCGGCTGACAGCTGCAACGCTGTCCACCTGCTGCTGCTGCTGCTCCTGCAGCTGCAGCTGTTGTTGCTCCTGCAGCGCTGCTGCTGCTGCTGGACTGCTGATTAACTGTGTAGACGGCGCTGGGCGACGGCGATGCTGAGGAAACGCTGGTGGTTGTGGCTAGCAGCGTTGCTGTTGGCGCCACTGCAGTGGTTACTGTCGTCAGGCTGGTCGCTTCCGGCAGGGTCAGGCTGGGCGCTGTGCTAGCTGTCACAGTGCTGGACAGCTGCAGCACCACCACGGTGGGTGAGACGCTAGCGTCACTGAGAGTTTCGGGCTCGGCGCGCCTGGCTACCAAACCGCTGGCCAAGCTGGCGGCTGCAATGTCCGCTGCGGTCAGCTGTTGCTCTAAGTCCTCGTCAACGTCGTTGATGAGTGTCTTTAGAGATATGGGCGTGGTCACCGAGGTGCCAATCGTATCAGCAAGCGAATGCTTCTTCTCGCCCGCACGACAAGCCTCCAAGTCTGTGTCTAATAGTTGCTGCTGCTGCTGTTGCTTCTGCTGCTGCGGCAGCTCGCTCTGTGCCTGCGTCTCTGGAATTGCTGGCTGTGTCTTCGTTTTCAGTTCGTCCGGTGTCTGCGCGGGTGTTTGGGGCGGACTTGTGGCGGGGGCTGCGGAGCCGCCCCCGCGACAAGGTAGGCAACAGCGAAACACTGTGCCACCGAAACACTTTGTCCTTGGCTTTGACTTGCGCTTGCTGCTGTTGGTGTTGCCACTGCCACTGCCACTTCCGGAGCCGGTGCCGGTGCCGCTTCCGCCGCTGCTGCTGCTGCTTCTTGCCGCTGTCGCTGTGGCCGCCAGGCCGTTAACGTTGGCGCCGCTACCAATACTCTGCCCCGCACCGTTGCTGCTGCTGCTCCCGTGACGCTGCGTGCAAAAGAGAACGACTTAAGTAACAATGAGGCCAAAGACATGCATTTAGTTAAACAAAAAAGTGGAATCGATTTTAAGAGTTGAGTTCGTTGCCCGCCCCTGCCCCTGTCAACCTTGGCGTGCGACGGATCCGTGCACTTTTGCGTTGCATTTTTGAGCGTTAAGCTTTGCGTCAGCTTCGCCAGTCGCATCATGAATACCACGCCACGCCCACTTAAGCTACAATTCGCGGCGCAGGCAACAGCATAATTTCACTCCACTTGGCGCTCAGTTCTTGGCCTGCAATGAAAGAGGTAAATGCAGACATTTGATTAGTTATTTTAATATTATTATTTAATTTCAATTGATAAGTTTAAGCAATTAAACAATTTGGATTAGTTACGAGCGCAACAAATACCCCCTAACCTTTATTTTTGCTGTTGTGTTTATTCTTTGGGCCTCGGCTAGGGTTAATATGTGCTCTTTATTATATTTATTATTATAATCATAATTTTTTCTCTTCCTAAAATAATATTTGTTATTGAATATTGTTGGGTATTGTGTGCATTTAGCCCGGGTCAAGCGCTCAATCACAGTTGAATTTCTAATAAAAAAAAAATCACTCAGAATACCGGCAGAAAATATCAGCATCGCCTTAAAGTATGCAACAAAGGAATGCTTTTCCCCAGCTAACATAAATATGGGTTAGACACATTCTGAGCATTGTATGTATGTAAGTATGTATGTATGTATGTGTGTATAAAGCAGTTTGCTCAACCCCAAAGGCAGCTGCACAAACTGACCCACATAAGGGACACAGAGCCGTTCATGCGCTCTCATTTATGGGACCAGCTCGAGTTGGTATCATTGACAGCTCACCCGCAGCGACAACTAAATGTGCCCAATTGGGAGCTTAAGTCTCTTAAGTGGGACGAGTTCGGGGTTCACCTGGTGGCTGCTGCTGCCCTGGCTGCTGATGTACTCCCACTTCAGGGTGGCGGACTATCCCAATCAGGATGTGCATCATAATGGTTTTGACTATCAAGAGGAATATATTGATTCATTCACAGGACTGCAGGAGCATGAATATTTTGAATAGGTTTACAAAACCTTAAGACTATTTATTCAGAAATATAAATAAATGACAAAGTAAACATCATTTTACTGAGTCCGAATAAAAGCAATGAAAATAACTTATTTTAATTTATATAAGGCATATGTCCAATTGGATAATAGCAATTTATTTAATTTCAATTTTAACTTAAGACAAGTCTAAATTAAAACATATGCAGCTAAAAACAGTATATAAGAAATGCGCTCCGTTTATTTTGCAACAAATGTATAAATATTTATACAATTGGTTAAATGTTCAGCAATTGGACTAGCTGTTCGCCTAGAAAATAACATCTTCCAGCTACATATTAGCGAGCTGCTTATATTCAAGTTGATCTTTGTACAATTGTACATAATTCTATTAGCAGCTGAATGAGCCATTAGCCAAGACCAGAAGTCAAACCAAGCCAACTTAACGCAAGTGCGCACTCAGGCCAAACCACAGTCGAGAGATTGAAGCTAAAAGCCGAAAACTTGTTGGCAGGCAACACAAAAAACAACTGTCAGAGTTTCCATAGATACGTCAAGCGATGTGTTAGGCAAAAAAAACAATTGCAACACCAACACGAGCTCAGGTGAATGGGTTCAACAACTTGCCATAGACAGCAACGAGAGCAGCTACAACGACAACTACATCAGCGACAATAGCAAAAAGAACCCATATTTCACTTGCCACTCAATGTCAATTTACGTTAAAAAGCCAAAAATGGTTTTACCTTAATAAATTATTAAAATTGTGAAGCATACTCTCGGGCGTGCGAGCTAAATGAGCTGTCTAACAGACCCAAGTGTGTGCACAACTATTTGATCAAGTTTTCAACAACAGCACACACGGAGCAAAAGAACAACACTTGGCCAAAACTGCTGCATTCCTGAATGACACTTGGCTTATTGTTTACCTGAAGCTACACATATGCTTCAGCATTTTTTGTGGTAATATCAAAAATGTGGCAGAGACCTTTTCAATTTAAGAGCTAAGCAAACAAATGGAACAATTTGCATTCAATGGGCTACGGCGCCAGCCAGACGACATTATTTAATGACTAAATATGTATAATAAACAAGAGCAATTTGTCATTTGTTTAAGAGCACTCAAAACTTTAGACAACTCGAAAAAAGGCTTCACTTAAGCAATGAGCATTACTTGAGCAAATGAAAGTTGCATAGAAGGGCGTTAAATGCGGGAGTGTAATGAAAGAGAGAGAGAGAAAGAGAGCACATAGCTAAAATAGTGAGTAGAAAAAAAGTAGAGAGAAGGCAATTTAAAACATCGAGCAACAAAAAAAGAAATGCATTTTCAGCACCCTTTTTTGAGGCAACTGTTTAACATGATTTGGCATCGCAAATTAAAGAATTTTTAAAAAATGTCCATTTACTTTAACGGTTACTGTGAAAATACCCTTTAAAGTTTAACAATATTTCGCAGTATACATCTATAATATAAATATTTTTTATTATATACCATATAATGTACAGCCTTTTGCAAGTTATTGGCCAAAAACTTGTATAGAAAACAATTTCAAACGAATTTCACTCGAGGGCAATGCGACAATCTTTATTTTTTATTGCCAAAGCGACGATACCTTAATAAAGCCATAAAGTACAAAATATATTTGATATTGATTTTTATTGAGACATTTTTAAAATTAATGTGTGCAATGCGGGTGCCCGGTGAACATTCGATATGGCCACGGATAACGTTGTCAACTTTATGGGAACTGTCGAATGATGAGCGGCATTAATAAATCAATAGAATTTGATGGCAAATAATTTGAGAGCTCTGCTGCAATTCGCTGCGAATTGATGGCACTTCCTTCCACTCAAATACACGAGCGCCCGCGCGTGTGTGTGTGTGTTATATGTGCAGGACTAAATATTTGACTGTACAATGCGGCGGATGCGTGATAAGCGTTGTGTTAAATTCAAGTTATGCTGCGCCAAGTGGATTTCTCTCAATTCGATACGTGTTTTTTTATTGATTAATGTGCACACATCGAAACTGTCATTCATTTGAACACTATATTGGAGTGTATATTAAACGATGCCAGCTCGTTTGATGGGAATGCAATGGGTCCACTTTAGCCACAAGCGCTCAATAAAAATACTTTTTAAAGCAACGCAGTATAGATTGTCGAAAGCAGGTCAGTTTGGTCATTACTTTAAAGTATTTCTCATATTTTGCTATGCTTTTTAAACCGCGTCATTTGCCACAGATTTTGATGCCAAGCACTTTGGGCAGTTTTTGCCAGAAACGGCCAAATTCCCGTTAACTCTCTGGACCAGCCTATTAACATAAACGTGAGTACTTATATGAGTTAATATAACGGCCTCGACCTTATGGCGTGTGCCTGAGCTGCACTTTAGTCATATATGCGGGTCAGAATGGCACTTTAAATGTTTCTCCATTGAGCGGCGCCCCAGGGAGCATTTCGGTACTTTGCGCAGGTCTGAGACAACCCGCTGTAGCTGTGACAGAAACAGGTGAATCAAATTTGTCAAGTACCCTGTACCAATTAAAATCGTATACAACGGGATTTATAAACATCTTTCCGACCATAAAGAATGCAATTATTTATCAATACCAGCAGCAGGGTCAGGCGATTCAGCTGTGCTTTATTTACCTTGTCACAGAATATATCAGACTTTAATTATTTGATATATCAAATATGAGCACAGGCTAGCAGGAAGTCCTAGCATACGCTATGTTGTTATCTCTATATATAAAAATGTTTGTCTTGATGGACTGACTGATTGACTGACTGACTGATTGGTGATCAACGCACAGCCCAAACAGTAACAGCTAGAAGGCTAAAATTTGTACTATAGTAACCTTATGTGATGGAGGTGCACGTTAAGGCGCGGTTTCGGGAAAGCTCCTTCGGTGGGAAGTGCATTTTAAAGATTTTTGTTTTGTGAATTTAGGGTTGTGTCCGATTTGAATCAAACCTATTTTCAAAACTCTACATTAGAATATAATGAAAACGTGTTTCAGCGATTTGGGAAATTCCACTCGCAACAGTAGTAAAATGGCAGAAAACGTTTGTATGAAAGTTGTTGATTATCGTCCGTTCAGTTTCAAAGTAATTTTCAAAGCTTTTTGAGAACATTGACTTTATAGCATACGTGCCACGGGCAAGGCCGGGCTATACCCGCTAGTTATTTATATTTTGCTTGACTTTAACGAAATTCATCTGCCGGACTTGCAACGTTTGGCAAGCGAAAGCCATTACAAGTCAAGGTGGAAAAAAAGCCAAGAAAAACAATGGAACAGCATGAATCAATCAGAAATGAAGACGTCAACGGATACGCAGCAATTAATGGGCAGCTATAAATGTAAACATGGTACATGCGGCATCTGGGCGTGGCAACAATGGAATAAAAATGTGTCTGCATCAGAGAGCTGCTCCTGTAAACACATACATATATAATATATTATTGTATGCCAGAGAAAGAAACATGAACTTCAATTGATGATTGCCTGTGGCTTTGAGCAGTTGTTGTTGATGTTCTTTTTGTTGCTGTTTAACTTGTTGCCCTGCGCCTAATGAGAAATTTAATTATGCACATTGATTGATTGGTTCTAATTGATGACGCTTAACAAACAAAAACAGATCGAGTTCAGCTTTAACTACGCAGCACACAAAATGTACTCTTTAAGTGCAATGAAAGTTTAGCCAATTCTTAAAAACTTATTGAAGGCAGCCAATGTGTGGGCGTGGCCAGAGAAACGTATTACGCTATTATGCGATAGCTACGAAAAAAGCTGCACAAAAATTTCCATTCCAGCAAAATTTTTTTATGTGCAAACATTTTGCAATCCATGCGAAAATCGTGACCAATTACCAATAGTCTTCGATTCAATTTTATTTTAATTTTCTTGCATTTGCTGTGTGCGCATTTTGTTTTAAATATTTCATCCCTTTAAGAACTTTCGTTGGTTTTCTGCTCAGTGAATTGTTTTTATTGAGTCAGATACACAAGTCTTTGTCGCTTTAGTGAAATAAACGACTACTCACAAATGTTACTCAGATCTAAATTACAAAAAATTCTCCCGAAAATTCTCTTGAGAAAATGCACTGATTTAAACTTATCAATTAGG